CTGAGCTGGTCAGATTCACCAGCCCTGGATCAGAGGATCTAAGCACAGCTGGAAAACAGCTGGCAGAGTTTGATTGATAGCTAATCAAATGTGGAGAGGAAACCTCTAAACCATAAAAACAAGGTTTTATAGAACAAAGCTGTTTAGTTCTGGGAGAAGCTGTTCCTCTGATCCTCTCTTCTCAGACTCAGATCTAAACTAGCCAGCCTCTGTGCTCCTCCACTGCTCCAAAGGGAGGAGCTATAAGCTAAAGGAGGCTAAGTTTGCATTTTGAAAACAAACAAAGCAAAATAAAACATGTAGCAGACTAAGTGTCGCCTCTGGTCACTTTCTCTGCAGTATTTCCTGCTCAATGGAAGCCAAGCAAACGGCGGTGTGTGTTTGACATTACGATGTGCAGGAAGTCCAGCGCGGTGGCGGTGTGCAGATCCCAGTCCAGTTTGTTCAGGATCAGCCTCTCCATCCTCAGGATCTCAGACGGAGAACAGCCGCAGTTACTGGAAGCAGCCAGCTCCTTCAGAGAGGGAACACACTGACACACAGACACACCGTCAGACGGACAGACTCCCGCCGCCGCTGCCTCACAAAGCTGCCCACCTTTACCTCGTCCTCCTCGCAGGTCTTGGCAGCCAGGAAGAAGCAGGCGATGGCGATGCAGCGCAGGTATTTTGGACGGGCCTGAAAACAAAGGTCCAATCAGCTGATCAGTTTCTGCTTGGAACAGAAAACCAAAACTAAAGAAAAATACTGAGGAGCTGCAATCATAAAACCAGGTTTAGTGATGCGGGTGTGAAAACTTTACAAACATTTTCACCACGATAAGCGAGACTCAGGAATGTCCAACACAACGGAACCAGAGGATGAGGAGGAGGAAGGTTAACCAAAGGAACAGCTTCCACCTCGTCCTCCGACACTAAAATCATTTCTCATTAAACAATCTTTCATGGCTATAAACCAGAATCCATCCATATGGACAGAAATTTATCAAATCTTTTAAAAGTAACATTAATAAAAAAGAAAAGAAGAAAATAAAATCTGTATTGAAACACCTGCAGTGGTTCATCTCCACCAGCAGCCCTATTGGGACGCCTTTATCAGCGGCGCTTTGGCCAAACATTCCTGATCCTTTATATAAATCTGGATCCATCCCGTGACCTGGCTGAAGGATGCCAGCGGAGCGGACGGCCTTCAGGGGGATCATATATTCTGAAATGATTACCGTATTTTCCCGACTATAAGCCGCTACTTTTTCCCCATGCTTGGAACCATGCGGTTTATAATG